ATGATTAACAACAAAAATAAAGCTGAGAAACATTTAAAGTGTTTATTAACATGTTTTTAAAATAACAGAAACAAGTCCATGGTAACATAAACAGTATATTCTTGTGAAAAATATTTTCCACAGCAAGAATAATTTGTGGGGTAAGTGGCACTGTTTTAGTTTTGTGAGTTTCTGTCACATCTGACTTAATACAAGCTGTATCCTCGTACCTGTAGTCATATTGCTGCACTTCTGCATGTCACGTGGCCTCTGGGAACTTGGCCATACACTCAAGAATGAGAGAAAGAGGCAAATAACGTCTTCATATTGTCATGATACATACTTGACCTCACAGAGTCCCTGAAAAGGTCTTGAGAATGCCAGGAGTCCCTAGACTGCACATTGAGAACTCCTGGTTTACTGAGAGAAAAGTTTGGATTACAGGGAGTCATGAGAGTTCGAGGAAGGCTTGGAGGTGGAGGCTGCCTTAAGTGGTCTAGGGGCAACAGTCAAAAGAAAGAGTAGTGGCATGTGGTGGAGGATGAGGTTAGCTTGGAAGCTAAAGCATTCCAGGCAGAGAGAACATGTGCTAAGGCCCTGAGACAAGTGCACTCGAGGGATTAAGGGCCAATGTGGCCAGAGCTCAAGGCAGTTAGAAGAGAGGTACAAGATGAAGGCAGAAGGCCACAGTGGGCAGTGAAGCCAAGCAAAGGGCTTTGGCCTGTAAGCAAAGTCATTGAAGGAGTCTAGGGAAGTGAAATCAAATCTTCATGTTTGAAAGGGCTACCCTGAAGAAGTGCAGCCAATGGGCAGAGAAAGACATCAGCCAAATAATAACGTAACGCTTAAAAATTTGATAATAGCCGGGCTCGGTGGCTCAGCCTGTAATCCCGTGCCTTTGGGAGGCTGAGGTGAGTGGACTGCTTGAGCCTGCGGGTTCAAGACCCGCCTGGTAGGCGAGACCTCATCTCTACAATAAATCAAAAAATCAGCCGGGCGTGGTAGCGCATGCCTGTAATTCTGGCTACTTGGAAGGCTAAGGCGGAAGGATCGCCGGAGCCCAGCAGGTCAAGGCTGCGGTGGTCGGGAGCGGCCACTGCGCTCCAATCTGGGCAACAGAGTGAGACTCCAACTCAAAAAAAAAAAAAAAATTTAATAATAATTTCTTGGATATGACATAAAAAGCACAGGTAACAAAAGAAAAATTAAATCAGAGTTCATCAAAATAAAAAACCTTCATGCATCAAAGGATACTATCAAGAGTGAAAACAACCTACAAAATGGAGAGATCTGTTTGCAGATTATTTGTCTGATAAGGAATTATTACCCAGACTATTTAAAGAACTTCTGGCCAGGCACAGTGGCTCAATGCCTGTAATCTTAGCACTTTGGGAGGCCAAGGCAAGAAGATTGCTTGAGCCCACGAGTTCAAGCCCAGCCTGGACAACATAACAAAACCTCATCTCTACAAAAATAAAAAAATTAGCCGAGTGTAGTGGCATGCACCTGTATTTCCAGCTACTCAGGAGGCCGAGGTGGAAGAACTGCCTAAGCCCAGAAGATCAGAGCTCTGGTGAGCCACGATCAAGCCACTGCACTCCAATCTGGGCAACAGAGTGAGACTCTGACTCAAAAAATAAAGATAAAATAAAGAACTTCTACAACTTAATAACAACAAAAGTGATTTTAAAAATAGGCAAAAGACTTAGACATTTATCCAAAGAAGATATACAGATGGTCAATAAGCACATGAAAAGATGCTCATCATCACTAGCCATTACGGTGATGCAAATCACTATGAGATACAATTTTACACCTACTAGGATGCCTATTATTTAAAAAAAAGAAGAAGAAGACGGGTTGTCCAGGCTGTGGAGGAATTGGAACCTTTGTATACATTGCTAGTAGAAATGTAAAACGGTGCACATGCTGTTGAAGCAGTATTATAGTTACTCAAAAAATAAGCATAGGATTACATTTGATTTAGTAATTTCATCCCTAGATATATTCACAAAAGCACTGAAAGCAAACTCAAACAGACATTTACACACCAATGTTCATAGCATCATTATTCAAAATTGCCCAAACATCCATCAATAGATGAATGGATAAGCAAAATGTGTATATACATATAGTAGAAAATTATTCAGTCTTAAAAAGGAAGTTCTGACACATGCTAAAACATGAATGAACCTCAAAGACATTAAGCTAAGTGAATAAATGAGACCAGAAAAGGCAAATGTTATATGATTCCACTTAAATAAAACATCTAGCGTAGTCAAATTCAGAGACAGAAAATAGAATGGTGGTTGACAGGGGCTGCAGCGAATGAGGAAGTTATTGTTTAATGGGTATAGAATTTCAGTTTGGGATGATCAAAAAGTTCTAGAGATGGTTTTCAACAGTGTGAATGTAATTAATGCCACTGAATTTTACAATTACAATGGTTAAAATGGAAAGCTTTATGCTTTGCATATTTTATTACAATAAAAAAATGAAAACAAACAAAAAAGCAGGATCTCAAGAAAAAGTTACCGCCTACCTGGTCCAAACATACAAAACATATCCACCCTTCTCTACCCACCAGTGGCAACCTTATTTTAGAATGTCCTACCTTTGCTTAAAGCAAGATTTAAAATATTCCTTCAAATACCCACCTAACCAAAGTTTACCTAATTTTCAATAAGATACTATACCAAAATATGAAATGCTAATACTCTCATAATATAACACCTTGGTATTTAAGTGTCCAACATCTCAGCCTTTTATCTTATTAGTTTAAGGATTACAAAAATGCACAAACTTTAAAACAGTGAAATACACTAGGTAAAACTAAAGAAAGGCAAATCAAATCCAATGTACTTAAGGTAGTCTGAATAGTGGTAAAAGTATCTAAGTCTGACAAAATACTAGACAAGAATCAGTGCTAAGGTTAACTAAGCAAATGCTTTCTTTACATCACCAGGATAAATGCTGAAGGCTCCACAGAGGTGAGTACAGATTACATGGCTTTCTACTTTGGTCAAACATTTATTTCTCAAATGGTGGGCATGTCACCAAATGGTAATACAGCAAATTTTAAATAAGCAAGTTCACTTAAAAAAAAAATAGTATGTCCACAAATAGGAAACCAAATAACCTGAACACATCCTTGTTACATAAGAATATTTAATTGTATAGAATGATATGTACACTATAGGCCAATATTAGCTTTTTAAAAACATTCAGAACCTGACTGCACTCAATGGCTCACACCTCAGTTTCCTGGCACTTTTGAGAGGCTGAGACAGGACGATTTATTGAACCCAGGATTTCAAGACCAGCCCAGGCAAAACAGTGAGACCTGGTCTCTACATAATAATCAAAATGTTAACCAGGTGTGGTGGTACACACCTGTGGTCCCAGCCACTCAGGAGGCCGGGGCAGAAGGATCACCTGAGCCTAAGAGGTCGAGGCTGCGGTGAGGCATGATTATACCACTGTACTCCAGCCCGAGTGACAGAGTGAGACCTCGACTCAAAATACTCAGAACCTATGGTAGCCTATGAAAAAGGTCTAAAGAAATAAAAATGAGTAGCTATCTCGATTCCCAATTTTTGTCAAATGTATTGCTTTACAACAAAAAGAATAACTTTTACAATTTGTAAAGTTTAATGCAATTTAGAAAGGCTTCTATAATAGTTGTTAAAATATTTTAGAGGGGCCAGGCTCGGTGGCTCAGCCTGTAATCCCAGCACTTTGGGAGGCTGAGGTGTGTGGATTGCCTGAGCCTGTGGGTTGGAGATCAACCAGGGCAACATGGCAAGACCTCGTCTCTACAATAAACTAAAAATTAGCTGGGTGTGGTAGCACGTGCCTATAGTTCCAGTTACTTGGAAGGCTGAGGTGGAAGGATTGCTGGAGCTCAGCAGGTTGCTGCTGGGTGGCTGTGAGTGTGCTGCTGCACTCCAGCCTGGACAACAGAGACTCCAACTTAAAAAATATATATATATATTTTAGAGGGCGAATGCTTACTCTGTGTAATATGCTTCATTTATCTGGAATCACCACCCTTCTTTTTTCCAGGCAAATATTTCTTAAGCACTTATCTTATGCTCAATGCTTCTACTCCAAGCACAAAGGAAAGAAAAAAATCCAGTTCCCGCTCTCATGGAACATTCTGGTGGTATTTACTTTTGTAAAACACTTTGTGACCATATCAAATGAATAAACCATTAGTACTGAAAAGCAACAAACTTTCCTATAGTCTAGTCCTGATTTTGATATACTACCTTCCTCTAAAAAGGATGCAACTTCACAGTTACAAAAACTATACATGCATATACAGTCATGTGCTGCATAACATTTCAGTCAATGATGAACTGTTTAAGATGGTGGTTTCTTAAGATTATGATACTGTATTTTTACTGTACATTTTCTATTTAGACACTTGCTAAAACTGCATTCAGAAACATGCTGTACAGGTTTGTAGACTAGGAGCAATAGACCATACCATATAGCCTAGGTGTATAACAGGCTATACTACGTAGGTTTGTATAAATACACTTTGTGATGTTTACACAATGTCAAATTGCCTAAAGACACATTTCTCAGAACATAACCCCATCATTAAGCAATGCTCGACTGTATTTTACTAAACTGGTCAGCTAAGACCTTAACCAGTAAAAATTCTACATGGAAAATACTGTTTGTTCTCCAAATATGATAAACCGAGATTTTTAATGTTAGCAAATATGATTTATACATACATATAAATGTCTTTAGAAAAGACAATAATCTGCAATTGTGGTTAAATATTACTTTATTTCCTCCATTGTTAAAAGATTTCACTCCTTTGGCTAAAATATGAGACTCTACAATTATATGTACTTTATTATTTGTGATGCTTATTCTTTAAACAAATTTATATGGTGTGTAAGACACTTATAAAAAAAATGTGTGGATTCAAGTTATTATCTGGAAATATTTTCTTAGCCCAAAAGACCCTAAGTTACTTATTTAAAAACATGGTATGGCTTAAGAGTACCTTGTATATTTTTCAGTGAAGTACAATTTTGTATTTTAAAATGTATCAATTATGCTATATAGCATAACAGAAATTAGACTTAACAGTATTTTGTAATGTTTATGAGTTTATTACGCATCAGTCTCCAGACCTATCAACATACTGGATGCTGAAATTCCTAACTGCTTCTGAGGAATAGATGAAAAATTACACACAGAGCTTTTCGGAATGCTCTGGGCATGTTTCAACTGTTACTTCCCAGACAGACCCAGCCCTGGCAGAGTTCTTACATTCCCATCATTTTTTATGGAAACCTATAGCCAAGTACTTGCCCACAGACAGTTTACGTTTCTATAAAGCCTCCTATACTAGGCTACTGCTCCCAATCCTGCCAGGAAACCCACTGATTTGCCCCAGGTGAATTTTCTTTGACCCATATGATTTAAACGGCAATGTGGTAATCAAATCAGCAGCATGCATACTAAAATTGGAACAATACAGAGATTAGCATGGCCCCTTTACAAAGATGACATACAAAGTCATGAAGTGTTCCATATTTTTATACACACATACATGCACACACACAGGAATATAAATAAAGCTGGGGAAATCTGAATGAAATCAGTGGACTATATCAACGTCAACATTCTAATTCTGATATCTGCAATATGTTACCATTGGAAGAAATTGGACAAAGTGTGCCACTGTATGTGAATCTCTGATTACATCATGTGGGATTCAATCACATATGATTATATCAACATATACTGAATCTATATACATCACATAGTATGATTACATCAATAAAAATTCAATTAAAAAAGGCAATGTAGCTATGTAGGTACAATGCATGAGCATAATACAAGAAGACTACTTCATTAATGTATACTACTTCCTTGGTCTCTGTATAGACAGAACAATCTCCTGGTCTAAAGCTTTAAAAAAAATTTTACTGTTACCTATCTATTAAACTAATATGCAAAACATATGAAATAAGATATAAAATGTCCATTAGGGTCAGTGATCAAAGAAAATAACAACACACAAAAGATAAACACAACCACATACCCTCTCTAAATTTTACATTAAAGTTGAGGGTTCAAATGAATATTTCTTTCCCTTCTGACTCATCATGAAGGTGGTAAAATAAACAATTATCCATTATTAATTGTCAGGCATTCATCCCTAATAAAAACTACTAAGCCAAAATTAGCAGGGAAATATTTTAATGATATTTTTGTAGTACAAAATAATTAAACTGAGGCAGGTAGAGAAAAGTAAAGAATTCATATAACCATAATCTACAGTGCTTTAAATCTCAACATCACTAGAGGCTGAGAATGAGCATATGTCCTACCAGGGCAGTCATCATTTCTCCTCTCAAGGCACAGTCTGGGTGATGTATCCAAAAAGAGGTCTATCTTGGGCTCTTGCACCCTGACTTGTTATTTACAAGCACTGTGATATTTGAAACTGTTCAACTCTGCAGATTCAGGGACAGCCCCTCCATTCCAAAGACTCACTTCAGTTGTTCCTCAGTCCCCTTCAGACTGGACTTCTGATTTCTCCTTTCCTTCTGACCCTGAATTCGGAAAAGCTTTTTCCTGAGGTCCTTCTGTCGCTTCAGTTTCTCCTGCTCTTCTTTCTGCTTAATTTTGAAGTGCTCTTTATTGTGTAGGTGCCGCTGTTCCTTGGCCTTCTTCATCTTCTGACTGTGCACTGTACTCAGTGCATCTAGCAGTGCAAGGACCTGACAAGGATAAAACCCAGTGAGCATCAGAATGTTCTCACAGTCACAATATGCTTGCATTCTACGTTTCAGGAGCCTGAATATCTTAGCTGTCAGTATCAAAACTAAAATCAATCTATGATCTAAATGAGTATTAACTTAGAGGAAATTTGTCCTGAATTATACTCCATACTTAGCAAGGAGATATAAGTGTGAGCATATTTTACCTTCATCACAAACTTCTGTTAACCACTCTGTGGACACTATGTGCAACTAACCAGGAGTGGTTCCCCAGATGGGTGTCCCTTAGTCCCCATTAAGATGCACAGAGGAGAGCAGGGCTAAACAAAGGAAGGGAAATGGACTCTGACCCTTCCCCTAACTTCCAGTTCTAGACCTTGAATAACTCTGACCTTATCCTTTCCTGATGAAATCTGAGAATGCAGTAAAAATGCCAAGCGTGCTACTGAGAGCATTATTTTCATATCTAAATGCAACATGAAGTAATCCATCAGTGACAGTACCTTCCTTTCATGAGGCTCACGAATGACAGCTGGTCTCTGCCTGTCCTTTGGCACTTTGCCTGCCTTTGCTTGGGTCTTGGGCTTGTTCTTAAATGGCAGGGCCTTCTGCAAGGCTTTTGGAATATGCAGTGAATTAAAGTGTTTCTTTTGCCTCAAGATTGGCTGAAAAGAAAAACAGAAACAAAAATAAAATACTGTGACATATTTAAATTATGATCTATGTGCATTTAGGACTTTTGCATAAAATTTTCTCAGTGGATTGACTTTTCCACCAGACTGATAACACTAGAGTATGCTGACCCTCAGATATCAGGATTCAAACATCCATCAAATATGGACTGCCTCAATGGACATTCACAAAGCTGGGTAAAACAGAGTAACAGAGAGATTATAGTTACAATTCTTTCAAAAGATCAACTATGTCCATATCTATGGCATAAAACCTTGAGGTATCAACAGAGCAGATGAACAGATCCAAAGTTTCTTTTCATTAAAAATTTAGGCCTACTTGTACACCTAATCTTGAATTGTACCCCACATCTTTAAAATAAAATAAATAAATAAATAATAAAATTCAAGTCTTATATTTGGGACACTGAGATTATTTTTTCCCCAGCCTAACATGAATCATCTATCTTTTTCCATCTTGACTATTGACCTCTCTGGATTTAAGAATAGAGTTCTTTCTCCAGTCAGCAGCCAAAGTATCCCCAAACATGATGCTAATTAAGAAGTCTGGCTTTATTCTGTTTCGGATGGCAGCCAGACTGAAAAAACTGACATTCAAATAACAGATTAAAGCAAAACACTCTACACTGAATTTTCAAGGTAATCTAAGTTCTATGTATAAATTAAGTAAGACAACCAAAATTCTTAACTGCCTCAGAAATATTGTTAATAAGTTGAAAGTTTTGCCCTAGGCCTTTACCAAGGTCAACATCAACTATAGAGAGAATATTTCTATGTCTTTAAATTCATTATTAAATACATCATCCACAATAATATTCAGCATTCTCTGCTTAGGAACCCAAATAGCTTAAGAATTAAAGAATTCAAAGATATCTCCTTCTCACAAAAGAGTAAGCATCACAGGTTGGCTAAGGGGCACCACATCCTGAAGTATATTTTAAGAAAAATCCATGTAGGATGACCCAAACTTTTTTTTACTTTTTTACAGAAAAAGTAATTCCGAGGAGACTTCTGTTTCTAGCAGAATGGTAGACTGACACCTTGACCTATCCTCTTATTATAAAACGACTGAATATTATAGATTAAAATAAATAAATCTTTTCAAATGCATCTTTAAACTGTGAAGAAAATAATGAAAGTTCTCAAAGACCAAAATCTAAATAACTGAGAATCCAAAAAGAAACCTGAAAACCTAAAATTTAAAACCGATGAAGCCAACTACTGGCAAGAGTATGGAAAAAGTGACAACTGTAAGAATCTGGTAGAGTCAAAGCTGGTGTGACTCTAGAACACGACAGGCCTCCACACTAAAGTCGAGTACATGTGTACTGGGAGCCCTCAACCCATCCCTGGGGGTTCTCCAACAGAAGTATGTGCACCAGCACACCAAAAAACTTGCACATCCAGGACTTAGTGTTCAGGGAAGCATTACAAAGGCAAAAAATTGGAAATAATTTAATGTAACTTGATAATAACAGTAAATTAGTATCTGCCATATGCAAGAACATGGATAAATCCTGTAATACTGAATCAAAAAAAGCAGGCAAAATAGTATGTGCTATATTCTATAAAAATAGGCAGAACTAATCTATATGCCAGGAGTTGGAATAGTAGCTATTTTCAAGGTGGGGGCAGGCAGTGATTGGGAGAGGCTGGTATTCTGTTGTTTAGTCAAGGGCATGGCAACTTGGGTGTGCTACAATTCTTCAAGTTACTTATGATTTGGGTACTTTTCTGTATATATGTTAACATTTCAATTAAAAGTTTATTAAAACATTAAAACTTTCATAAAAACTCACATTGCTTCAATAAAAATTAGCACATTAATGTCTTAAAAAAAATGTGGTACAGAAACAAAGAACAGAGCACCATATGTTGTCACTCATAAGCGGACCTTGAACTATTATACTACTGTAAGAAAGCATTAGGCAGTAATGGGAAACTGTCAGGGGAGGGGGGGTTGGATTGGCAGTTGAGGGAAACTGCTAGGGGAGGGAGGGGCATACCTCAACAAGGGTACCTGCATAATCAATGTTTGTATACCTAACCCTGAATTGTACCCCACATCTTTATAATAAAAAATAATAATAAAAAGAAAAAAATACATGTGGTAGAAAAAAACAGTTCAAAAGAGTATACACTCAAAGTTTAAGAGGGAGTGATGTCAGTACAATGGCCAACCAGAAGGCCCTTGTGTTTGTGTCCTCCCCACCATAGACAGACTAAAGCAACAACAACAAAACTACATTTTGAAGAAAACAATTAGATAAGAGCACCAGAATACATCAAAAGAGGAGAAATCCAAGAGGGTACAGAAAACTAGGATGGCCATATAAAAAAGAGGAGGAAATATCTTACCTCCACCATCCCCAGTCAGGATCAGCTTAAAACCAAGAGGGATTTCTCCCTGCAGGAAAAAGGTAAGCAAAAAGAACCCAGCAGCTACCACAGATGCTAAACCCAGCCAAGAGAGCTGCGTGGAGTCCACACAGCTACACTCTCCAGGGAGAAGGAGCTGACAATATGCCCTGTCCTCATGGTGCAGTTGTTACTGGGTTATGCCATCCTGGAACTGGAGTGTGTCTTGCCACAGGGGTGAGAAGTCACTCATTCAACGCATTGTGGAAAGTAGAAGGGGTTAACAGGTACATGCAAAGAGACCACATGGCAAGAGAAGGAAGAGTCTAGGAGTCCAAACTCAGTTTTATAACACTCCACTCTCTGATAATTAACCCAGTCATACAAGACAATATTAATCCATTCATGAGGAATCTGCCCCTATGACTCAAACACCATCTGCTAAGCCTCACCTCCCAACACCCTCCATATTGGGAATATGACTTCAATATAAGTTGTGGTGGGGACCACACCTAATCCAAATCACACATTCTACCCTGTGAGGTCAAGCTGCTGTGCCTTGCCCTGCCTAGTCACTATTGCATCCTGCCCCTTGGGGCCTGAGCTAACTTGGCACCTTGCCTCCCAGAGAATCAGTGCCTTGGCTACTCACAACAGACACACCACCTCTAGTGTTGGTGCAAAAATGACACCTCCTGGAGAGTCAGTGCTTTTGGCTACCAGGAAAAGTTACACCCCTGGTGGTGCAAGAGCTGAAATAGTGGCCCGCTTCACAAAGAATCAGTGTCTTGGCTGCATCTCCCAGACCTGAGCCAGTGTGGTACCCTGTATACCAGGGAAACAAACTATTGGCTGAGGTAGGGCACTTTGCCCCCATGCCAAACTATTCTAGCATCATGCTTCCCTGGCAGATCTTCCCAGAATCTGAGCTGCAGAGGTACCCTACCTTCCTAGAGAGAAAAGTAGTCGTGCTGCTCGCTACCCCTGCATCCCAAGACACAGCTGTGCTCTGCCAATTCTGGGTCCTTGTTGACACTGCACCTAGACTTACAGAGTCTGGAATATTACTGTGTCCCACCATCCCAGGATCCAGAGACAACATTATGTGGTGCCTCATCCTCTGGAGTGTGAGTTGACACTATGCCCTTTTGGCTCTGATTCCTGAATTGCAGGTGTGCTCTAAGTCTTCAGGGCCTGAAACTCCAGAGCTCTGCCCCCTAGGGTCAGAGTCACAGCTATAATTCAGCTCCCTAGACCCAAGCAGCTGGAGTACATTCAGAATCACAGACCCCAGTTTGTGGGCAATGTGCACCCACCCATGCCTTGGACAATGAACCCGTGCCCCAAGTCCCAGGTGCCACAGCAGGTTCACAAGTTCCTGAGCCCAGTACCCTGACTCTGCAGCTACTCTGAGCACTTGCATGCTGGAACCCAGAACTAATGTAGCCGCTTGAGGGCCATATCAGATCCAATGCTAAGAAAGACTGCCTCAACTGAGATTTCTTAATGTGGGGAAAGCAAGAAAAGGAAGACGCCAAAAGCCCTTGCCACTGAAAACGCTAACAGCACTCCCCCACCACTGCCAGAAACTCCTGTACATTAGTCCTCTGAGGCACCCATAGTCATCACTGATGTTGACTGCAGCTCAAGAAGCTGCATGGAGGCTATACCACTGCATTCACTTGGAACTCAAGCCATGGCACCGTTCCTAACCTGTACCCTAAGACCCACCTGTGGGTGAAAGGCAAAAAGTTTCCCCTATGAAAGTCACTCTGTAATGTTAGAAAGAGATGACTATTCCACTGGATGCATAGACATCAATACAGGTATACAACACATATAAAAAAAAAATGTGACACAAGACACATGAAGCTAAAAACAAAGAATTCAATGAAATCAGGAAAACAATTCATGATCTGAATGAAAAATTCAACAAAGATAGAAATCATAAAAAAAACCCAGAAATCTTGAAGCTGAAGAATTCAATGAATGAAATAAAAAATATACTAGAGAGCTTCAATAGCAAACTAAATCAGGCACAAGAAAGAATCTCTAAACTTGAATATAGGTCTTTTACAATGACTGAATCAGGGAAGAAAAAAAATGAAAAAGGATGAAAAAAGCCTATACAACTTAAAGGACACCATTAAGCAGACAAATATGCACATTATGGGATTTCCAGAGGGAGAAGTGATAGAGAAAAGTACAGAAAGATAACTACTGAACACGTTCTGAGTCTTGAGACAGACATAGACATCCATATCCATGAAGCTCAAAGATGCCCAAACAGGTTCAACTCAAAGAGGGCCTCACTGATTATAATCAAAATGTTAAAAGTCAATGACAAAGGGAGAATTTTAAAAGTAATAAGAGAAAGTATCAAGTTATGTATAAAGAGAATCCCTAGTAGACTATCAGAGCATGTATCAGCAGAAACCTTACAGGCCAGGAGATCCATTCAAAGATCCAAAAAAGTAAAAACAAAAACAAAAAACTATCAGTCAAGAATACCATACCCAGCAAAGCTGTCCTTCAGAAATGAAAGATAAATTAAAGTCTTTCCCAGAAAAGCAAAAGCGGAGAAATTTATCACCACCAGACCTGCCTTACAAAAA